GGACATGAAAACATGCTCAAAGTCACCCATTATCCGAGAGATGCAAATCAAAACAACAATGTGGTACCATCTCACACCTGTCAGAATAGCTATCATCAACAAATCAACAAACAAGTGCTGGCGAGGATGCAGAGAAAAAGGAATCCTCATGCACTGCTGGTGGAAATGCAGACTAGTGCAGCCACTGTGGAAAACAATACAGTTTCCTCAAAAAAAAAATTAAAAAAAAAAATGGAACTCCCATTTGACCCAGTGATCCCACTTCCAGGAATATATCCCAAGACATCAGAAATACCAATCAGAAAGGATACATACACCCCTATGTTCATAGCAGCACAATTCACCATAGCTAAGATTTGGAAACAGCCTAAGTGCCCATCAGCAGATGAGTGGATAAGAAAACAGTGGTACATCTACACAATGGGACACTATACTGCTCTAAAAAAGAGGGACTTCCTACCATTTGCAACAGCATGGATGGACCTGGACAGCATTATGCTAAATGAAATAACCCAGCCAGAGGAAGATAAACATCATATGATCTCACTCATTTGTGGGATATAATAAACAACATAAACTGATAAACAAAAATAGAGCCAGAGGGGAAAATATTCTAGAATATAATAGAAGCAATTCTGTTATTGTACAGTTTTGGTAATATTATTGTACTTAACATCCTTTCCTTCTTGAAATATTGTTTGCTGCATGTAATGTTATTATATGTAATAGCTTTTTTTCTTGAATAATTGGTGTTAATGGCAGTTAACATTATTATATTTAAAATCTTTTGTTTTTGAGAGAGAGAAAAAGAGACTCCTCCCTTTGGCACTTTCAGGTCCCTCGTGGACAAGTGAATTGGCCCAGTGACAACGACAAAGAACAGAAGGAAGGTTACCGGGTATCGAAAACCAGCAGGATTTTGAAAAATCGGATCTTGATCATGGCTCCCACCCGCCTCTCCTTCTCTGTGTAGATGCCTTATTTCCCTTTTAGAAACGAGGCCACTGTGAAGAAGAGGGAGCTGTTCACGCGATGCTCAGGACTGATGTCCGTTGAGGGACAGGGGAGGGCTGGGGCAGTGAGAGCCCGGAGCAGAGCCGGAGGAGAGTGAAGCCAGGCTCTCCCCACCACCTCCCAGTTGCTGTCTCACAGACTCGTGGGAATGTGCGTATTTAAAACCTTACTTTGAAATAATTTCACATTACGTAAGATCTGCACGTATAGTGTACAGAGTTTCTGTAGACGTGTGTATACCCAGCTTCCCCCAAAGGTAACATCCTCTGTGACCTGTAACCTTGGTCACACGGAGAAATGAACAGTGGTCAGGGCCGCTAATTAAATCCGGGTTTTATGTGGATTTTACTAGTTCAGAAATTGTTTTTACTTATTTATTTAATTTTAAAAATATATTTTTATTGATTTCAGAGAGAAAGGGAGAGGAAGAGAGAGAGATAGAAACATTAATGATGAGAGAGACACATTGCTCGGCTGCCTCCTGCATACGCCCCACACTGGGGATCCAGCCTGCAACTGAGGCACGTGCCCTGCCCGGGAATCGAACCGTGACCTCATGGTTCATAGGTCAATGCTCAACCACTGAGCCACACCGGCTGGGCTGATCTTTTACATTTAAATAGGGACACATGAGCTGTTTTTTTATTTTATTTTATTATTTTTTTTTTTATAAAGCAAGCAGGTTTTTATCTCAGGGGGACCTGAGGGAAGTAGACCATGAACTTGGTGAGGGACAAATGCTTCTGGGACCTGTATTCAGGACACCGAGACTCGCCTTGCCTCCCCTCCTGCTTCTCTGTCACTTAGGTTCTGTCTCCTCTCTGTGCACCCTGGGCACAATCACTGCTCACAGCTACCAAGAGCCTGCCACATGCCCCCCACCGTTCTCAACCATTTACTCACATTATTGTGTTTACTCCTCCGTAACCTTCTGAGGTACATGTGGTTTTACAGGATAGAAGGAAATGGGGGTGGGGGTGGGGGGGAGAGAGAGAGCGTGAGCCATCATCTGGTTGCCTCCTGAACTACCCTGACCAGGCCGTGGATGAACCTACAACCCAGGAACATTCCCTTGTCCCAGAATCAAACCTGTGACCCTCCAGTGTACAGGCTGACGCTCTAACCACTGAACCACTGGCCAGGGCATAAATAATATTGATTGAATCTAAAGGCTCTAAGGAAAAGGTCTTCAAGGTATGTATGCCATCTTATACTCAACAGGGACCCTGAGAGTGCTGGGCTGCAGGGGCTGCCTGGAGGCAGGTGGTACAGTGGTCAGCGCCTGGGTGCCTGTGGGTTTGGATTCCTGCCCAGCCACTGTTGGCAGATTGCTCATTCTCCCTGGACTTACGTGCTCTCCGCTGCATGGACTGGACCAAGCCCTTTGTGGCCTCTTAGAGCCACTAAGTCCTGTCACTGACATTTGGAGTTCGACAGTTCAGCACGACCACCTGTGCTTCAGTCACACCTAGACTTCCGCATCCTGTCCAGTGTGTCATCACAAGACCTCGTCCAACACCTTATGAAATTCTTGTGGCTATAAGGCATCACTCCAATTTAGCAACCTTGCACCTGTCTGGAAGGGTTTAGGGTAACATGAACCAGTATGGACTTCTACAGGTGACGGCTTTGTTTTCTAAACACTCACAACACAGCCAGGGGCACGCTGGATCTGTGGGGCTGCCCGCTCCTGGCACATCAGCTTTATTGCTCAGAAGACAGGGTGGTGGGTACATTGTCTCCTGAACGGGCACCACTTCTAGGCATGCAAGTCTCACTTGTGGGAGCCACTTCTTCAACATAGACAGCAGCCTTATCGTCAAAGGAAGCCAATCTGGGAGGGATGCCTAATGTGAAGATTAAAAAAAAAACAAAAACCTGACCTGGCCAGTGTTTCTCAGAGACTAGAGGATCTTGGGTTTGATTCCCAGTCAAGGGCATGTGCCTGTTTCAGGATTGATCCCGGGTCCAGGTTGAGGCTGGTGCAGGAGGCAACCAATTGATGTATCTCTTTCACATTGATGTTTCTTTCTCTCTCTCCCTTTCCACTCTCTAAAAAAATTGATTTAAAAAAAAATATCCTCAGACAAGTGAAGATAAAAAAACAACAACACTACAACTCAAAATGGTGTTAAGGATGCTGACATTTGGAGTTCGACATTCAGTAGCCCATTTGCACCTAAGCTCAAGAAATGAACAGTACAACCCTTCCAAGTGACAGATGGGTAATCTCATCATGATTATACAACGAACATAAAATATTAAAAACAACTTTGGCTGGAATTGATGGAGACGATGAAATCATTGTCCCTGCTTTAACGAATCTAGTGGCTTAAATTTCAGCCCTGAGATTTAAGCCAATACCACTTTGGGGGAGGTGGGGCTGGTGACTATTTTGGGACAGGGGTACTTGCAAAAACTCTAGGTGCATGGATGTGGCCCTTTATTTTTTGTCTTATCATCTCCTCTTCCTTTTTATTTGGAGTTAATTACAGATTCACCTGTAGTTGTAAGAAAGAACACAGGGACATCCTTTGCACCCTGGATCCTACCTCTCCCAATAGTAACATCTCCTAAATTATAGCACAACATATAAACATTGATACAATGACACAATCCACTAAGCTTATTCAGTCCCCCCAGTTTACATGCATTCCTGTGTGTGTGTGTGTATGTGTGTGTGTATTTAGTTCTGTGCAATTTAATCAGTCTGTGAGAATCCACATAGCCACCACGGTCACGGTGCACTGAGATTGATTCTTACAGGCCTACTCCCTAAGTGTCAGTTCAAAAAGAAAAAAAGAGGGGGGGGGGCATCCACGGGTGGTAAGCACTGCCCAGCCACAGGGCAGGTGCCAGAGGAGTCTGCACTCTTTATTTCAATTGCCTGGATGTCACAAAGACCTGCCATGGGATTCTGACCATAGAATGCAGATCCCTCATTTGGCCGCTGAAGAAAGAGACCAGAGTTGAAGTTCCTCATCCTGGCTCTTCAGTGGCGGAGCCCAAACAAGGACCAGGGCCCCTGGAGCCTGACCAGTGCTGTTCTTGCCGCCTACTCCGTGTCATCACCTGCTAAAAGTCCCTGGATACACGCAGCTGCTCTGAGGAAACAGGTATTCATCAGCATCCAGCTTCATAACTACAAATAGTAATGAAAAATTGTTTTTGGCAAAGCATGCAAATACATACATGCTGCTATTTCTTTATTTTGGACTTTTATGGACATTGAAAAGGGGTAGGAAGAGATGGCACACCCGTTCAATTCATAAACTATCAATGATGCCAGCCCAGCAAGCGCTTCCCCTTTGTAGAGGATGCAGCCCCGGGACACTAAGTCCTGGTGAGAAAACTTCCATGAAAGTGAGGACTGGGCTTGAAGGGGAAACTCTTCTGGGATGTAACTTCAGCAAGAGCCAACAAGAAGCCATTCCTCTTCTGGGCGGGATGCTGCAGGAGGGCTTTGTGGGATGGGCAGTCCCTCCTGCGGACAGGCCCAGCTCTGGGCCCGTGGCTGAGGGGTTGAGGGGGCCGCCTTCCCGGCTCTCCTCCTGCAACAGTGCGCGCGCGCCGCACGCTTCCGGGACGTGGGGCCAGGTGCGCCCACGCGGGACGGCGGGCGGCGCGCGGCTCCTCCGCTTCCGGTCTCACCTGCGGGCTCCAGGCCCCGCCCACAGAGGCGGCGGCGGGGCCGGCCGCGCGCTCCAAGATGGAGGCTTCAAAGGCTCCGGCTGCAGTCTGGCCCGCCCCGCGCGGGAGCTTCCGCCAGCTCACTGGCCGCGCCCCGATCTTCCCGGAGGCGGGCTGACGGCCCCAAACCTCCGAGGGCCTTCGGCGCCCGCGCGGAAAGACACCCAGCCCTGGCCCCAAGAGCTCCCCTGAGCGCGCCCCCTCCTCGCCCCGGGCAGCTGGGGAGACCGCGCCCCCGTCCCGGCCCGTCCCCCGCTCCGCGCCCCGCCCCCCGCCCCGGCAACCCGCCGCCCCGCCCTCCCGCCGGCAACCCGCTCGACTCCTCCCCGGCGGCCCTTCGTTTCAAGTTGCAGCACAAGTTCGCTGGGGGCCTGAAGCCTCCCCGCGCGGCCGGCCGGACCCCCGCAGAGCATGGAGGTGGCCCCGCGGCCTCCGGGGCCTCGCAGCCTGCGCGCCCCGCGCCATGGAGGGCGCCGCGCCCCGCGCTTGGCCCGGTCCTTGGGCCTGTACCGCCGATGGCGGGCGCCCCGGGGGGGTGCAGCTGGACGGTGGCGCCCCGTGGGGCTTCACCCTGAAGGGCGGCCGCCGGCACGGCCAGCCGCTGGCCATCGCCCAGGTAAGGCGACGGCGGGACCCGCGAGCGGACTGCCCGCCGCCGGGCGGGGGCGCGGAGGGGTGGAGGCCCCGGGGGGAGCGGAGCAAACGCGCCCTGGCCCCGGGGGGCGCGCGGCCGCCCGGTCACCTGTGGAGGTGACTTCCGGTCACGCATGGGTGTGGCGTGGCGTCATCCCGCGGCTCTGCGGCGGCTGGAGCCCTGCAGTCTCCTAGCGCCGCGCAGGGTTTAAATGGCTTCTGTTCCGGCAGCGTCCCTGGTCACTCCCGGCCTCGCCGGCCGCGGCCTGCACCTGCGGGCTGCCCAGAGGCCCGAGAGACGCTCCCTGGAGCTGCCCCCCGGTGTGCGCCTCTCTTGGGCCCCGGCGTCCGCACCCCTGGGACCGGCACCCTGATCGCTGGGAAACTCGGCCCGGCAGCTGCTGCCCGCCAGCTTTTAGCTTCCCATCTGTCCATCAGTATTGACTGACTTTCGGTTTCCATTTCCATGGCGCTCTGGAGACCTGCCCAAACACACAGAAAGAAACTTTTCAGCCGCCTTTATAAAAGTGGAGTTTCAGCTCCAATAATAAGAAATTCCTAATGTGTCTCATAGGAATGTGTTTCTCCCATATGGGTTTTGGGGACGGGGGCTGCTTTAGAATTGAATGATCTTGTCTCAGAAACAAAATTCATCTTGAAACGGACCAAGGGAACCTGTGAAAGCACGCAAACAACAAACAAGTCGCTTTTTTTTTTTTTTTTCTGGTTCAAAGTGTGGGTTGGTCAGTTTATTTGGGAAGGGTGGGGCCAGCTCATTCCTAGGGACAGAGTTCCATTTAAAATGTAAAAATGTTTGGCTCCTGGGAGCGTTTGGAGGTGACCTGCCCGTTTTCTGAGCTTTCCTGCTTGTCCACTGCAGGGAGAAACCTGGTGGCTGCCAACCCACCCCTCCTGCCAGGAGTTTGGGAAGTGGTGTGGCTTTCTTTTTCAGAGAGCAAATGAGCCATCAAACCGTTCTATTCCATACTTCCTCTCCTGTTCACATTTGCAGAACTGCGGACTTGGTGGGAGCTTTGTTTAGAGTGCACTGAATTTATGTTGAACTGCAGTCCTTGAAAAAATGGTGGGCAGTCATTGAACACCTGGCCCAGCCAGGGCACGTTTCCCACATAGTTCGTATTAAAGCGAATTTTATCTGTATCTTTAAAAAAAAAAAAAAAAAAATATATATATATATATATATATATATATATATATATACACACACACACACACACACACACACACACACACACACACACACTTGGGTATCAACATTTTTATTAATTAAAAGAAATTCTTTTTAGAAAGAAACATTGGCCAGTTGTCTCCTACATGCGCCCAGATTGGGGATCAAACTCGCAACCTAGGTTTGTGCCCTGACCAGGAATGGAACCTGCAGCCTATGGGAGGATGCTCTAACCCACTGAGCACCCAGTCAGGGCTTGTCTGTATCTTTTTTTTTTTTTTAAACAATTTTTTAAACAAAAATTTTATTGATTTTTTACAGACAGGAAGAAAGGGGAATAGAGAGTTAGAAACATTAATCAGCTGCCTCCTGCACACCCCCCACTAGGGATGTGCCCGCAACCAAGGTACATGCCCTTGACGAGAATTGAACCCGGGACCTTTCAGTCCACAGGCTGAAGCTCTATCCACTGAGCCAAACCAGTTTTGGCATCTGTATCTTTTTTAAATAAAGGGTTTACAGGGTATTTCTGATGGTAAGATTAAAGATACTGGATAAATTACTCGGACTTGAGCATTGAATGTCTCTGTTTTAAGAAAAGATACACGATTCAGCATTCATGGTGGGGAAATGTAGGTCTGCAGTTGTGAGAACTTGGAATAGCTTATTCTTGTATATTATTTATTGTGTTATTTTCCATACAAACAACTGTAAAACCACCACCACCACCATCACCTCCCCCCTACCCCCCCAACCCACACACCCTGTATTTGCCTTGGACATGCCTTTATAGCAGATGGAACAAGTTGTAAAACATCACTTAAGATGAAGCCTTGCTTTTTGGCCTTCTGCAGTGAGAAAGCTGGAAGTCACTTTAAAATTTAGTTTTACAGCTGGATAAAGGGACTCCAAAGCACCTCCTCCTTTCTCAGATACCCCAAGTTCCTTTTTTAAATTTTTATTTTATTTTATTGATTTTCCACAGAGAGGAAGGGAGAGGGATAGAGAGCTAGAAACGTCGATGAGAGAGAGTCATCGATCAGCTGCCTCCTGCACACCCCGTACTGGGGATGTGCCTGCAACCAAGGTACATGTCCTTGACCGGAACTGAACCCGGGACCTTTTAGTCCGCAGGCCGACGCTCTATCCACTGAGCCAAACCGGTTTTGGCCCCAAGTTCTTTTTTGCCTTAATGTTTTTGTTTTTTTTTTACAGTTGATATGTAATATTATATTAGTTTCAGGTGTCCAACCCAGTGATTAGACATTTATATTAGTTACAAAGTGATCTTGTAGCCGTCTGGCAACAGGTACCCCAAGTTCTAAAAATCCCAGTGGCCTCCTGTTTTGTCTAAGAGGACCCCAAAGTTCTAAAACGACACACTAGTGACCCGGTGCATGTCATCAGTGGCACCATTCTGGAAACTGAAGGAGGCGGCAGTAACACCCAGCCCACACACCAGGGCCTTTTCAGGGCATCTGAGGCCGTTTGCTCCTGATTTGGCCTGTTGCTTGGTTCCCACGGTAGTTACCAAGGTTTTTGTTTGTTTTGCTTTGTTTTGGAAAGTTTTTGTGGGTAGGCCAACAGCAGTGACACACACACGGCCTTTCTGGATTGTGCTTCAGGATTCTGCAGACTAAAATGCTTGTGATTCTTATCTGAGGCCTCATGCATCCCTCCCTTAAACTGCTGCTGGGTCTTTGTAGCTGCCTCAAGGTGACTGGAGATTTGTAGTTCTTTGCTTACAAGGGAGAGGATTCAGAGCAGCTTGGACTTGGGTTGTAAGTTTTCATGCACACTTGTATGCAAGTGCACATAGGTGTTCTCACACATGCACACGTGGGATGACATTGACAATATTTACATACCTGTCTTTTCTCCTGAATTAGTTGTCAGGAATGCTCGCTTACAATTCAATAGCTGGTAATTAATATCACGTTATTAGAAAAGGATGAGGACACAGACAGTAGGAGGGTGAGGACCCTGTGGGGGGGGATAGGCGGAGAGTGGGCTGAGAGAGGTCAGTGGGGGGAAAGGAGATATATGTAATACTTTCAACAAAAAGAATTTAAAAAAAAAAGGATGAAGGGATGTGTGGCTAACTCTATTAAAGAATGGAAATAGACTGTTTTGATGGGCTCTGGGGATAATTGTTTCACACCGAAATTTAATCTGAGCTTTAATTTTTTTTTTTTTTCTCTCTTGTTACCAAAAAATCTTCAGGGCTCATTAGATAGTAATTCTTCTAATCATTTTTTTGCATTTAAAAAACTTTGTGATTAACCCTGGCCTGGTGGCCTAGTTTATTAGTCATCCCATACACCAGAAAGGTTGTGGGTTCAATTCCAGGTCAATGCACATACCTAGGTTGTGGGATTGATCCCTGGTCAGGTGTATATGGGAGGCAACTAATCAATTTCTCTCTCTCTCTCTCTCTCTCTCTTTCTTTTCTTTCCTTTTCTTTTCTTTCCTTTCCTTTCCTTTCCTTTCCTTTCCTTTCCTTTCCTGTCCTGTCCTGTCCTGTCCTGTCCTGTCCTGTCCTGTCCTGTCCTGCCCGGCCAGTGTGGTTCAGTGGTTGGGCATCGGCCTATGAACCAAGAGCTCACCAGTTCTATTCCCAGTCAGGGCACATGTCTGGCTTGAGTGCTCAATCCTCAGTAGGGGGTGTGCAGGAGGCAAGTGATCATTGATTCTCATCATGTTTCTATCTCTCCCTTCTCTGAAATCAATAAAAGTATAAACATATTCTTGGGTGTGTATTAAAAAAACAGCCACTTGTGATCAAATAGTTTCTGTATTAGAGCCCTGGGGGCTTAGCACATTTCCTGTTTGACAGAATCTGGCTGGGAGAAGCTGAACCCTGTGTGGGGACACCCTTGCTGTGATAGTGAGGTCTCCTTAGAAAGCCTCACAGGGGTGTGCATCTTAGAACTGGAAGGGGTGCCCAACTAGGCTGCTTCAGTCCCTGACCTGATGGAGACCTTGTGTCGCCTACTGTATGGATGTGCAGTGGGGTCACCACTCCGGCAGGTCTTGAGAAGGACCTTGAGGACCAGTTCTAGACTCCGAAGGTTCCTGCGTTCCCTCCAGTCAGTGCCATCTGCTGGTGTGGGAAATCTGTTGCAGTGCCATATTGATGATAGTGTTTAAATCTTGACGCTGTGGAAGTTCTAGGCTGGTTTATTTCTCTGGGGGCTTTCCTGTGCGTTGCAGGATGTGTACCAGCATCCCTGGTCTCTACCCACTGGCACCCCCTCTCCAGGTGGGATAACCAGAAACCCCCTCCAGGCTGCCAAATGTTCCCTGGGTGCAACATCGTCCTTGTTTGGTAACCATGTGTCACTTCTGCTTTGGAAGGATTTCAGTGTTTAAAGCTCATGCTTCCTTCTTTTGAAGATACTGGCCTGTGGGGTTTTCTGCTTGGAGGGCTCTGGTGTGCCAGTCGTTGCCTGGAGGGCTGTTTTTCCACCCAGCTCTGGCCTCCTAAAAGGCTTAATTACTTAGTAAGACACAAATATTTGCTTCATCTGCAATTTTGTAGCTGGAGAAAGAACATGGGAGCCCAAGTTTCATTGTTTCCTTACAGGGTATTCTCTTTCTTTTTACCAGTTAAATTCTTTTGTCAGTGGCCCCTCCCCAACACCCTGTTCACCAGGGGACTCTCCAATGCATGAACTTTGTCAGGTCCCTCCGCAGGGTCTGTGTTCAGGCCGCTATGCAAACAGACTACCAGTAATTTTCCATTCAAGTTTAAATGCCTTGCCTTCACAATGGACCACCATGGACTTTACTTC